TTGAATTAGACCATGATGGGCCGAGCTTGGATACAATGTTGGGCCAATACAGACGTGGGCCTGATTTAAAAATTTTATTTTTTAAATTATATATATATATATATATATAAATAAATAAGTTTCAAATATTTTTTAATATATATATATATATATATAAGAAATTTGAGAGAAAAAATAAGTCAAAATTATGGTTATTAAAGGGACTCTAATATTGATTAGTGGACATAACCCGATTTAGTTTTAAAATAGATAATATTTAGATTTAAGTTTTTTAGTCAACCAATCGATTTTGATTGGGCAAGTCAATTTTTTAATTCTAAATTAATTAATGAATTAAGTTTAATCAATCATCCTCCTACAATCGTACATGAGAGACTTTTTTGCTCATTTATTTTATCTTCTTAATTATTTTTTTAAAATATTACTAAAAATAAAATAAAATTTATACAAATTAGTGATTAATAAGCTAATTCAAATATTAATGTTGTCTAATAAATAATTAAAAGGTTATTCTTACCTAAAAATTCAAATTAATTAAACTAAATAATCATAATAACTCCTATATTATTAGTGGATAAGGTATTCATTACTTGCATTTATGTTATTTAATTAAAAAATAAAAATTACAATTATTTTTGAAGGTCAACACAAAAATTATATCAGTAATTCAAAATTCTGAATGGAAGAACATAACTAAATTAAATTAAAAACCTAATGATTTTCAATTCTTTATATCAATTTAATGTTTATAATAGTAAATTTTAAACTTGGAATCTAATTAATTTATATATTTATAAAAATTCACATCTAATTTCTTAAAATAAATAAATGAAAGATTTAAAATAAATATATATAAAATTGACAACTTTTTGACAATAATTCCTTATTTAAAATATGTATTAAAATAAAAGTAAAGTTGAAAATAGAATGATTAAGAAGATATTGCATGGATTTTTTCTACTTTAGAGGGAATATAAATAATGCAAATTTGAAAATTTTAATTATCTTTCCCAAAATATCCTCCACTTCTTTAATCATTTTTTATTATTTAAAATAAGGTTAAATTATTCCATTACCAAACTAAGCCTAAAATAATAATAAAAAATAATTATATTGTAATTAAGTAAATAATAATAATATCAATAATAAAAATAAATACAAAATTTGAAAAGGTGATTTTTTAAATTAGATGGGGATTTCTAGGAAGCTTCCATTAATTAAATTAAATGATGAAATATTATTTATTTGATGACAAAAAAGCTTGCTTCATTTCTAATTAAACCTATTTTTTAATCTATCTATATTTATTTATTTATTTATTTAAATTATTTTAGGAGTTAAATTATAATTTTATAAATAAAAAATAGTTTTTAATTAAGAACTTTAATTAAAATATCAAACATTTGTTAGTCAACAACAATTTTAATATACTTATAATATGAATATATATAAGTATAAAACAATCATGGGCCATTATTGTAATAAAAAAATTAATGTCACGAATTATATATCTAATGGTAACCGAATTCCTTCGTTAATTATTAAATAATCAATTAAATATAATATATGGTCTTTAAATATAACAATAATATAATTAAAAGAGGCTAAAGATCACCATTTGAATATATATATATATATTTATATATTAAATGAAATTGTTTATGGCTACTTGCCCCTCCCACTATTTTATGCCATTAGATAATAATTTTTATTTGAATATTAATATTTTGAGAAATATAATTTAAAATAATAGAAATAAAATATATAATAGAGCCCATTTCCCAAGTCATTGCATACCAAAATATTAATAATAAATTGATCAATAAATAATTTATTCTTTAAAAAACAATTGTCCTTGGAATTTATAAACTATTTTAAAGATTGACATGTTAAGATTTAAACCATTAATTATTATATGATTAATAAAGTATTCATGCTTTTAATTTTTTTTATTAATTTAATATATTGTGGTTTAGGTTCTGTGAATATAGTATATATACGTATAAATACACTTAAAAAAATTAGTTTGTAACACGTGCAATACATAAATCATTTCGTTTAAATATTGTATTGATCTATTCAAAATCTATTATGAAGTTTAGTATGGAAATTTCATTCAAATAACACAAAATTTGAACTTTATGATAAATTTAATACTATGGTCGGATTAATATTGTTTTAATATTTTTTTCATAAATATTATATGATAATGGTGAATTTGTCTCCATCCACTAATATATATAAATATTTAAACTCCCTTCCGGTCCTATATATGTATTAAAATAATGTCAAACCAAACTTAGGTCAAAATAAAATAATTGAAATGATTACATTATTTAAATGACAAAAAAAAAAGCAATGGAATTAGTAAATAATCACGTTTAGATGAGTTGAAATTTAATATTTAAATATTAAATCTCATCAAGATGCGCATAAATTGGTTTATTAAAAATAATTAAGGATGATTTAATAAAATATTAATTTAATTTTATTAAGATAATTAAATAGATAAAAGTATAAATTGAAAAATGAGCAAGTGGTGGGAGAGGGGATGGATTCTTTTGCCTAGTGTCTAGTTTATTGATATTAAAATAAAAAAAATATAAAAAAAGCTTAATGGGATGTTGTTTTTTTTAATTGAAAAATATTATTTTTAGTGAGAGAAAACATGGGAAGAGAAAGATAATGTTTGTACTTTTAATATTAATTGATTAATGAATAAAATAATGATTTTTTAAAATATTATTAATAAAATAATATATTTAGTCATATTTTTTTATTTGCCCAAAGGACAAAGGAAAAGAAATAATATTATTTTAAGAGTAAACAAATTGTCAAAGCTAATCTCTCTTTTTTATATATATTTTATTAAATTATTGATACTTTAATATTCTAAAAATTAATTTTTATACTTTTATTTTATTATTATTATTTTGTAGCTATGCATTTGTTTTCTCACGCATACGCAGCCAACAACTCTTTTAATATTATTATTTAATTATTTTATATATTATTTTATGTAATCATTTTTTTACCGTTCGAAATCTGTAACAAATTATTAATTATTTTTTGAAAATAAAATAGAGAAAAACAAAAATTAATTTTTAAAATAAATGGTAAATAATTAAATAAACAAATGGAAATCTAATGGATTGTTCTAGAAGAAATATAATGGGGGATATAAGACAAAATAATAAGAATTAAATGTGGAGTTAAAAGTATCAATAAAGGAGTAGTTTGAGTAAAATAATAATAATAAATAATTTTGATATATATAATATTTACATTTGTATACACCTACTAAAATTCTATTTAAATAGAATTATTTGTCTCGCGTTCTTAAATAAATATTTCTATAATAATTATTTTTATTGTACTGAGAGAATATAGTATTTTTAATAATTTTGCATTCATAAATATTTTTAATTATAGTAGACATGACAACCATTATTTAAATAATATTGAAAAATGTATTATTTTGCATCTATAGAAATAATACACATTTTTTTTTAAAATGCTTATGTGTCAAAAATTAATGGGAGTAAACATATAGCCAAAAAATTTCCAAATTATTTTTCCACGTGGCAATCTTTTAGAATTTCACGGCACGTCACTTCTAATCTCAGCCGTCAGATGGAGATTGACTTCCAAAAGTCAACGAAGGTCCATGTTCCTAAAATGATACCACCCGCAGCTTACTATTTTTATCGTCACGCTTCCACGTCAGCTTTTTTAAGGCGCGTGAGGGCAGAGGTAGAGGGCTAGGTAGGCGACCAACCGGGGCCCACGATTGTAAATTTGATTCACATGAGGAGGCAGATGATTGTGGCTGCCAGTTCAGAGACCTTTTGATTTAATTTCTTTTTAGAAAACAAATATTTAAGATATTGCCACGTAGGATTCTAATCTTACGGTTTGGAACTGCTTACAGTTGATATGAGCGACCTGGTCCGTTGGTTTAGTAGTTAACCGGTGGTTCTGCGTTCATGTAATTAATACTTGTCGAGTGGACCCGTGTGGGGATTTTGAGACTGGAACTGACCGGCTGAATCGGTCAGCTAGGCCTACTTTATTGCTTCTCAGTTGCTTGTGGAAAGTTTCGGAATTTCATCGTACTGGCAACCAGCTACCGGCTACGCCTGTTTCCGATGTGGAGATATTTGTTGGACCGTTGATTTTCACGCCACGAACGTGAAAATAGTTTTACATATCATTTTCGCGGAAATTCGATTTTTTTAAAAAGATAATAAATCTAAAAATAATATTAAGCTTTTAATTTTATATTTTATTATTCCTAACCTGTTTAATCTAATAAAAACAGTCAAGACACCATTGTTGAATGAAATATTAATTAAATTTATTATAATTTTTATATTTATAAAAAAATAAAACACAAATTATTAACAATAATAAGTAAAAGTATTTTAAATGGCTGAATAAATAATAAATATTTAAAGAGAAAAATGGGAAATGGGTGGTGTCATCAACTGAGATCCACGTCAGCAATTGTGGAACCGTCCTTGGACCGAATTGGGAAAGACCAAAGAGGAGGAGAAATTGAGAAATTAGACCTCACGCGTTTGAAGGCGCGTGGCGAGTTGAGCATAAGTGAAACCAAAAAAAATATATATATTTCGATTCGGATAACTAAAAAATTTATTAAAATAAAATAAGGTTACACGTGGCTTATGTGTGCGAAGTGGCAATATTCCATCGAAAAACGACCCTCTTTGCCTTTGCCTTGCTGGCGTCAGCCAATCACAGCCGTCCGATTCATTTCCATTCCAATGATTTTACTCGGTTAGGCAGCCCCTTTCCTGAAATCTCATCCGTCCATCCCTCCCCTTCAAAAGCAGATTTTGCGTGAAAGCGTCAAATTCCCTAAAAAATAAATAATAATAAAATAATAATATAATATATATATATATATATATATATATAAAATAATAGAATAAATAAAATAAAATAAAAAAAGTAAAAGAAAGTGATTAGATTAAAAGCACATAAAAGCACACAAAATAAACAACAAGAAGCTAGAGAGAAGGAGAGAGAGAGGGGGGGATTTTGCTGTTCATTTCATCATCGGGAGTTCGCCGGAGTTTATGGTTGTTTTCCGGTGAGGGTGGATTTGATTTGACTTCCGGAGGTGAAGAGGAATCGCGATTCATTTTGGTGAGAGAGTTTGTTTTCATGATTGAGACGCATGATCATGGAGAAAAGCAGAGAAGCGAGGAGTTCGTCGAGTATAGTGGCCGCAAATGGATCCTCACGGCGACGTAGTAGAGCTACGGCCTTCAGAGATTTACCTGGTTCGAACTTCGCTTTCGTCGTTCTCTGACTTTGGCTTAACTCTCTTTTTGTTGTATGATTCTTTATTAACGGTTGTTGTTTGTTGCAGAGGAAGGTCAGGTGGAGTTGCAAGAAACGGTGCGGTTAAGGGAGAGAGGAGGGAAGAGAGGCCGGGATCGAGAGTTTGCGAGTCGGAGCAAGCGGAGGAGAGGAGGAGGAAATAGAGAAGAAGAGGTGGAGGAGGAAGGAGGAGATACTAGTGCTGAAGATATTGTTGCTGATGGAGACAGCGATGAGGTTGAAGACGGTGGAGGAGTTTCTCTTATTCTCTCTTCTACTACAGCTGCTTCGGCTTCGAATCAGAACCAGAAGAGGAACTCTCTTCCGCCAAGAGTTGCGAAGCAACAATGGAAGGTTGTCGATGACGCGATGATTGGCGTTCCGGTTCCGAGAAAGGCTCGCTCAGGTATAGTGTAAAGCAAAGAAAGAAAAAGGAAATAGAACGATTGGCTCCTTATTTTTTTGTATTTTATGGAATCATGCTCCGTTTCATGATGGTAAAGTTTGTTTTTAATTCTTTTTGTACAGCTTCTGTCAAAAGATCACATGATTGCACGGTTTCAGGAAATAGTGGTGTTGGTGGAGCCGGAGAAGACATTGCAGACGACCACAGCCATCGGAACCAATCCGATTCGCCAGCGAGGTCGTCTGCTGAGGTTGTTTCGCCCTCGACTTCCGTTGTTTCGTCTAAGAAGAAGATGGTTAGTTCGTCGGGGGGTTTCCCCCTTTTAATCATTGTTCGATGCATATATTTTTTGGAATGTTGGAGTGAGTTTATTTTTCCATGAATTTTTAGAAATCCTCTGGACCGAAGACTCGATCAATGAAGACGTCTAAGGGTTCTTCTCCGTCTGCCATGGAGGGTGATATTGAGATTGAGATCGCTGAGGTTCTTTTCGGACTAAAAAAACAACCACAGTGCTCCAAAAAGCAAGAGGTTAATATGAAACTATCATCGAACCAAGAAACAGAGGATTCCAGTGTTCTTCGTGACGGTACCAAGCCTCCAGTTACATCTACAGCGGCGAACTCTGCACAAACTGCCTTCCAAAAATCTGTTTCGCTTCAGAAGAATGATGCTATTTCAGATTTGTTACTTAATGTTGGTGGGTATTCTGAATCCTTGAGCTAAAGTAAATATTTCCAATTGGAACCTTAACACACTATCCCGATTATCCTGTACTGATAACGTCCATTTTCACTCTATTTGCCATTGTAGCTGTAGAGAAGACCGAATCGTTGGATAGTGCAGCTAAAGCCGAATCTGAGAAACCTGCAGAGATTGAAATCTACCCCTCAAAGTTGGGAGGAGCATCCGATTTTAGTATGAATCTTGGTTCCCATGAACGCAAAACTGAGGAAATGAAACCAGAAAAGGAAGTTTGCACTAGTGGAGATGAAAATAAGGAGAGCAAGAAAACTGTGTTGGTACAAGAAGATGTAACTTCATGCGTCAAAAGGGATGTTGATCCTGAAGATTCGCCCCCTACTAATTCGTAAGCGATATAAGATCTTCATTTCCATCCATTGTTCCTGAAACAATTAATTTCAATATCAATTTTGTGTGCGTTCTTAGGATTCCAGAGGCTGAGACACAGAAAGAAGATAAGTTCAAATTTGACTTGATGGTTAGAGTCTGCAGTTTTCAATTTCAATTTTGATTTCCTCTGATTTTTTAAGTATGAAGATTCTGATAAGTGCCTTTGTTGAACACAGGCTCCTCCAGCATCTCCAGAAAGGGATGGGTTGGCTGATATGGTATTAGATGCTAAGCCTTTGAGTCTGGGAATTCAAATGGTGAATAAGATTTTTGCAATTTTAGCAATATGCCTGATTTTGTTTTTTAGAACTTTTGATTGATGGATATTTTCCCCCCATAAATCTCGTGTAGGGGAAAGAGACTTCAAATAAGGCTGAAAATGAAGATAGCATAGTGACAAGTGGGACAAAGTTTGAATTCTTTAAACTGGATTTGGAGAAACCGCAATTAGATAGAAATAGCATCGCAATGCAAGAACAGAGTCAAAAGCAGCAACCTAAGGGAGCCGCCGGCACAGTTGAAAATAATGGTACCCATCATTTCATCTTGAAGAACTTTCATTATGTTGATTAAAACTCGATTATATGCCGAACTGTCTTCTCAACTGTTGTGATAATTGTACTTTCCCCAGACTCTTCCGCTTCAGTGCGCTTGCCCGTAGTTCTGGGTGGCTGGCCAACTACCGAAATTCCTCCTGTCGGGTTAGAAATCATTTCTTTAGAAACTATTTGCCTAAGCCAATGGCTAATTTATATGTATTTTGTTGAAAGAGTTTTCCTATTCACACCAAAATGAGACGTGGTCGTTTTCCCCCCCCTTATATTTCAGGTACATGCCACCCTTCCGGACAGTTCTACCCGTGGATATTGTTGACAAATCATCCACCAAACTACAGGTACCTTTCAGGATTTTTCTAAATCTGTCAAGTTCATCTGTGGATTTGTCAATGAATTTGCTATTGTATGTCCAAAATCTTGCAGCATCCGAAATTTATACTCTCGCACCCTCGACCGAAGAGATGCTTGACCCACTATGATATTGCTCGAAACATTTATTTACACCAGCAATTTACAAAGACGAACTATTTCCACCCAGCAGGGGATGCTTCTGCATCTCTTGCAGAGGCCAAACTAAAAAACATGTCCTCAATAGAAGGCATGATTTTGAGTAACCCATTGGGCGGAAATCATTTGGATATGAACCTTAACTCTGCTCGACAGAAGGAGCAAGCTGAAGGTGACTTTCCTGGTAATGTGGTAAATGAAAAAGTTCCCGAGGCTGCCTACTTGGCTGATATGGCTAAAAGCAAGCAGCTTGTATTTCAGCAGGGACAGGGAGCGTCGTTTGGTAACTCGATGGTACGATCTTCTTGACTATTTTTCTGCATTGAATTTCTGTAATCTATTTACTTCCAGTTAATTGGTCGGCTTATAACAGAATTTTTTTTTTCTTTCTACTGCAGCCTGGTTCTGGATTCATATTCCCTATCAGTCAGCATCAAGCACCGACAGCAGCCACCGCAAATCAATCTGGGTCCACCAAATCTTCTAACCAATCGACACCACTGTTCACTAACCCAGAAGCTGGAACACTTGTGAGCTTTCCAGCATTTCCTGCTGTATCTAGTAACATGAGCTACACTCCGAATGTGGTTTCAATTGAAGCTCCATACTTGGGAAAACTTCAGAACAATAGCTACCCATTCACCTTCTCTACTCCTGCGGGAACGAGTGCTACATATAGAACAAGCAGTGCACAACCCTTGCCTCTTTTCAATGGATCTTTCTATCCATCTCAGCTGTTCCATCCATCCCAAATTCAACCAGCACAAACTCAATCTCATCACCAACCAAGTGGCTCCCATAAACAACCTCAAACTCAGCAGCAGCAATGGAGTGTGCACGTACCCGGGAACAACGTACCACCATCAAATGGTATGCAAGTAAAGCAGCAGTCGACAGAACAGCATTTGCCACTGCCTAAGCAATCTCGCAAGCATGAGAATGAGACCAGTGGAGAGGACAGTACATCCCTTTCCGACATGCGGCCAGCTTCAGTTCAGAAAAGTTCTTATGGACAAAACTTCATTTTGCCTGTTCCAGCACTGGATTTCACCTTGATGCCATCTGGAACATTTAATAATGGCAATGGTGGAAATAATGGCGAGAAGAAACAGTCCCATCCACAAAATTTGAAGAGCACAGTTGCCTTAGTTCCATCTCAGGGACTCACAATGTCCTTTGCTTCATATAATGGAAATGGTACCCCATCAAACCTCAACTTCACACCAACTGTCTTTCAGAATCTTCCTGATATGCAACGTACAGGGTTTCAGGGAGCACCTGCTCCCCAAGCTACAAAGCAGAAGAATCACCAAATTTCAGAAGGGAGGAACGGAGTTGTTGTGTCCGGTACCAGTGACAGGAACACTGGAAATTCTTCTGCAAAGCCGTCTGCAACTTCAGGCCAGACCCTTGTTTTCGGTAATTCTTCAAGGACTTTAAACTTCATGACATCTTCTGTCCCTGTAAACTGGCCCTCCCCCTCCACGATGAACCGACCTGCTGGTAGTTCTTCAGGTAACCAACAGCAGCACATATTGCAACAGCAACAGGCAACCGTGGTGCCTCGAAGTAAAGGACCGTCTAATAATAGCTTGCCCTCATCGGCTACGACCAAGTTTCCTTGCAGTGCCCCTCCTGGTTTCTCACAACCTTTGATACAATGCGACAATTCTATCCAGTCTTCTGCACAGAAGAACTCGGGTAGAATGGTCGGTACCGTTGTCCCTATGACATCTCTCCATCTTGCTTCCTCCTCTGCAGTCCATAAGAGTTCCACTCAACAGAAAGGAAATAATACTCCTCACGGCCAGACTCAGATATCCTTTGGGGGAGATTTCAAGCCAGGTTTTACACAGATGCAACACCTTCCAACTGGCGGTCACTCTCCATCTAGCAGTGGAAAATTAAGAAACACAACCAGTAAAACCAGTCCCTCAGTTGCTCCCGTCCAACCGAAACAGGATGAAAGCTCATCTACTGGAGCTGGCAAGAAATCGTCTCCGGTGTGTGGTAGAAATGTGCCTTCAATCTTGAACACATGCCCCAGTCATCTATCAGAACTTAAATACTAGACCCTTTTTTTGTTCCAGCAGCTATAGAAGCACTAACATCAAGTTGAATTAATTCCAGCTCCTCCCCATCAGATATTTTGATGGATGATTCCAACCCTAGAAGTGGTGGCTGCTCAATATCATTATATCTATAAGCAAGACCAGTGGAAGATGAACCAAACATGGAAGCACCCAAAGAGGTTTGGTTTTCTTGAGAGATGATTCGTGGAACTCAAACCATGATATGCTTTCCAAACTTGCCAAAGCACATAAAGAATCAATTCGATGAAGTGAGAGGCATTACGAGGATCATAGGCTCGAAAAGTTTGCAACCACCAAGATATTTTGATGGCACGATTCACCAGAAGCATGTCGAGGAGCATATCGACAAATGGGCATGGATTTTTGTGGGAAAAAAATCACAAAACTTGAAGTTTAACCCTCTAGTGACTTGGTTAGATTATGTATATTGTAAGTGATTGCACATTATTAGTAGGGCCTATTTTTTGGTTTATATATTGTTTACTGCTAGACATGTGAATATGATATTATACTTGGAAAAAAAAACAGTGTATTCATTCTTTGCTAGGAATTTTATTTGTTCATTCTGAGTTTACAGGAAAGGAAGATGAACATCTGAAGAGGGAGGAAGATTGTTGAAAAGGTCAGTAAAGCTTTTCCACTATGATTCTAATTCTCTCATCGTCAGTGTCAGTATAGTGTAAACAATAATGCAGTTTGATGCTGTAATCAAGTAAGGAAATTATTGGGCAAAGCACATGGAATAAGGAAGGGATGGAGTTTGCAGATTTGATTTGAAATTTTCATTTCTTGCAGGAAAAGTGACAACTTCTTGTCTACTTTTTTCTGGGTAATCTGATGGGTCATCTAATTGTTTGATGCTAGAAACAACTCAAATAATAAATATCAATAAATGTAACTTTATTTTAAAACTATCATTTTATTTTTAATTTGAAGTTGCAGCTTCTACTCCTATAAAGTAATGGCCAAGTACTTCTAGGCTTTAGTTATGCCTTTTATTTTAAAATTTTAGGTTTAAACACAGATTTTAACCTTCCAAATGTTTACTAAAAACTAAGCATCCTAGTTTTTGTTATATAATTTTATCATCTTTTATTCACTTGTGAATTACATTTCTTCACGTATTAGCATTCTAATACATTTATTCAAAGCTATATCATAAAATATAAAGATAGGACCTGATACGGCTACTTTTTATTAAATTCATGGATTTTGAAACGACGAAACAAACCAAAAAGTTCAATGTAATCAAAACAAATATTTTGAAGTTTTAGAGACCGAAACCGATAGTTGTATAAAAACTAAATTGAAAATTAAGGTTTAAAAAAAAAAAAAAATCCAGTTTAAAACAAAAGGAAGCACAAATTTCTGTATTTTGTGTCCCTTTTATTTTGTCCTGACATTGCCTTTCTTTTTCAATTCCTTCTGAAGAGTAGAAAATAAAGCTCGTCTGATATCTTCTTTGGCTTGTCTATCAAACGGCTCTTCACCAATATAGAGATCTAAAATGGCTCTACACAGTATTTGGCTCTGAATGCTTCCCACTTCCTTCCCATCAACTTCAAAACACAACAAAAACAAATGCATTTCATATTATTCACATCATCACTATTTCTCCATCATTCTAAATAAGGATCTAAATCTCACCGATCGTTCGGAGGACGTGCCCTCGTTCTTTTGAGAGATCGATCACAGATCCTCGAGATACTTCATATTCATCTTTGAATTGGGAAGTGAATCTGCAAAGAAACAAGCAATAAAGAGATGGTGTTCCCAATTCCACGACGTAGTCGAGACAGTAAAAATCAATCATTCGTTTCTAAGGCAATAACTGACTCACTTTCGAAGCAATGCTTTCCTGTTTGAACCCCCGAACTTTTGGAGTCGGGTTCCAATCGACTCTTCAAATGCATTTCGAACGAACCCGACTCTCAGTTTCTCGTAGTCTATTTGAAGTCTAACAGTCATTCCTATATCGCCTTCCATGACATCTTTGTCAAAGTCCTTTTCTTGTAGTTCAGATACAGTGAGTTTCCCATACTTCTCACTCAGTGATTCCTTTAGGTCATCACTGTCAGCATAAACACCTACACACAGTCGTGACTCATTTCAATATCACATAAGCAGAAAAGCATACTAACCATGCCATAATGTATTTCAAAACATCATACATATTGGTAGATCAGGAAAGTCTCTCTTAAGAAAGATTGTAACTCATGAATCGACAAATCTCGACCACCTTTTCATCATCTTATGCTCAATTGAAGTTCATTTCCATTGTTTTTCCAAACATTTTAAGATCGTGTTGTAATAGCCCAAAGTCACCGCTAGCAGATATTGTTTTCTTTGGACTTTCCCTCTTAGGCTTCCCCTCAAGGTTTTAAAAATGTGTCTACTAGGGAGAGGTTTCTACACGCTTATAAACAATGCTTCATTCCTCTCTCCCATCGATTAGGATCTCACAATCCACCCCCTTTGGGGCCTAACGTTCTTGTTGGCACTCGTTCCTCTCTCCCATCGATTGGGATCTCACAATCCACCCCCTTTGGGGCCTAACGTTCTTGTTGGCACTCGTTCCTCTCTCCCATCGATTGGGATCTCACAATCCACCCCCTCAGGGCCTTGCATCCTCGCTAGCACATTCCCTGGTGTCTGGCTCTAATACCATTTGAAACGGTCCAAGCCTACCACTAGCAAATATTGTCCTATTTGGACTTTTCTTTCTGAGCTTTCTCTCAAGGTTTTTAAAACACTCTGCTAAAGAGAAGTTTTCACACCCTTATAAAGAATGTTTTGTTCTCCTCCCAACCGATGTGGGATCTTACAATCCACCCTCTTCGGGGTCCAGCGTCCTCGCTGGCACTCGTTCCCCTCTTCAATCGACATGGGATCTCACATGTGAGAATTTCAGCTTCTGAACTCTTGATTAATTGATTACGATGATACATACTTTATGCCATATGCCCTTGTTGGTGAATCTTGTGGTTTGCTTTAGAAATGGTTTTCAAAACAATCTTCAGATTCTTCCAAAACAAAAAAATCAATTAAAGTCCTGTACCAGTCGTCTTCTTTTGCTTTCCTTTCTTATTTAAAAGATTCTTTATGTTTTCTTAGTTCTCCAGTTTGTTTGATCTGTTTTGAGAATTACTGAAGATATTACACACATTTCAATCTCTAACTCATGATTTCAAGTGAAAAACAACACAAAACTACATCTAGGCCATCCAATGCCGCTATTAAGAACATATTTGAGCCAGAAAATCTTTCTAAAAACAGTCTCCCAAAGCCGTAGATGATACCAAACCAAGAATCGCAAATACCCATCAGATCAATCAGTCCAGATTCAACATTCAATCAAACTATAAAGCTCCTAAAAAGTAGAAATGTGGTAGAACATACCAAATGCATAAACAGTGATGTTCTTCAGTCCCAGAATAGCTTTTTTCCGCAACCCAATTCCGAGAAGCTGCTGGGAATCTCTAATTACAGACGGAAACAACAGTCCGGTCCTCGAGTCAACAACAGAATGGGCGGCCGAATTGTCAGCCAGAGAGAGAGAAGCCAACAGGGGCGATGAATTCAACGTGCTTTCAAGAAATGGGGTTTGTAGGTTCATCGAATTTCTAGTTGCGGCGATAAATCCGATTGTCGCCGCAGCGCCGACAGCCGCGGATGCGGCGACAGCGTAGGATGGGTGGGGAAAGCTGTGGCGTGGGGGCTTTGGTGGCTGAGGAAACGAGAAGGGGAAGCGGAGAGAAGCCATTTTTTTGTAATGTTTGTTTTTGGCGGTTTGATATGTAACAGTGTCCTTGCGAGTTATTGGAAAGAAGAATGAAAAAATATAAAAATAAAAAATAAAAAAGGAACTAGAATGGGTCCACGTGGAGGTAAATCACATTTTATGACATAGAAGAAATTATATATAATTAGTGTGAAATAATTTTCTAAACTGCAAAAGTTTTTAATGAAGTAAATTAGTATATATTAATAAGTGTAAATAACTTTACATTATAGTAAATATGTAATAGATTAATATAAATATATAATGTATTAATTATCATATTAAGGATTTGGTAGGACCCACAGATGAAGATTCACACAAACCCGAGCTTGGATGGAAGTGAACAAGATTTGACAACCGAATACAAAAGTCAAAAGCGAGTAGAGAGGAGAAAAAACTCCCTAACAGACACACTGGTGATAATAATAGGCCAAAACTAATAATATTTGCTAAATGTGTGTTTGGATAGTTATACAAATCACTCAAACGTACAAAGAGATTTACGAGAGGAAAGAAAAAACTTAAGCCTTATAATTACAAGAAGGGAACACCTCAAAAAAAATGTTGATTGTTTAATAAGCTAAAAGCTTGATTCTTGGTGTATAATGAGCTAAATATAGACATAAATAACAATAAATATCAAACAATTGACCATCAACTACTAACAAATTACTAAAATTGCAAATTTTTAAGCATCATTAATAAGACATACAAGGGCAGCAACTTCTATGGATATTGAGGTTCTTCTATCTTGTGAACAATTCTTCTCCTTAAATTCAAAAGGTCCAGAAAGAAGAGTGTTTCAACAACATTAGGTGATCATTGAAACAGAATTAAATGAAACAACAGTTTGAAGCTACTAAATAGTTGAAGTATAAAAGGTTTAGCTTCATTTTTTGTCAGGATAATACAAGTTGAATAAACATACTTACGATGTACGTACAGCCCGTTTTCAAGAAGACGATAGCTAAACTCTTGCTATCCTCAACTCATGCGCACCTGATATTTTTTCTTCATTAATGACTGAACGACGTTTCTCTCGAGTTAATCATACTCTAGTTCGTCGGGAGTCACTGGCCTTTTAAGTGGGATGATAGACTTCTTATCGACATCTCGCGATAATGCTTTCCTCATATCTGAATATAAACCATAACAATGCTAGTTCAGAGATTACCAAAATCATTTATTTCGTTCTCTTGGGTCGGGTAGACTCACCTAATCCATCTTCCTCCCCCGAATAATAACGCAGCACACGCCGATAGATAACATAGTCAAGCTGGTTGAGGGGAAAAAAATAAACAATAAAAAAAAAAATGTCCGTGGTAAGTGTTGCCTTTCTCCATGTGAAGATCAAAAGAACCATTTCGGCAGGGGAAATTATAAGAACACAACTGAGCATAAAAATGAAAGGTTCACGCAAGTAATATCTGTTATTTTGATATATAGCTTATAAGAAGAAATATGACCAAAAACTCATATTCTAACTAGAATCTCTGTGAGGTTGCCATAGATAACACTAAACCACTCATAGACGTTCCTCGCATTTTTCTCTACTTTTCTATTAAATAATTTTTTTCCAAATTAGGATCTTCGAAACTACATAAGATTCAGAAGAACTCCACAAAGAGGGCATTGTAAAGCAGGAATAAACCTGATACCACTTGCGGAAAGTTGACAAAGAAATAGCAGTTTTGTTTTGGATGAATACATATAGAAGATAGAACGAGAACAAATAAATTGGTAAATATTATATTTCTGAATTTACTAGT